GTGTCAGTAAAAAAATATATATATATATATATATATATATATATATATATATATATATATATATATATATATATATATATATATATATATATATATACTCTACTTCGGATCAGACTATCTGCGAACAGTGTCTTAAGTGTGCTATGAGAGAAATATATTATATACTGTAAACATAAATAAGATACCTATTAAATAAACACAAATACACACACAAAAAATATACTTTATTATACGAATCCCGCATAGCCAGACTAGAACTATGATAGATATGCACGCAGGAAATGTACACACGAACGTTGCTTGACAAGATAAATGTCCGTGAGGTCTGCTTCATTCTTTTTCTCCTTCGGTTTTCATTCTCTGATGAAGCTTTAATAACACCGAAATATGCAAGATTTTTAAAACGTTTCTTGTGTTTTCCTCGTGCCATCTAATAGGCTTCTGCAGGCCATCAGTGACCATGGATTTGATCCCACACATCTGCTCCCTGGATCATCGCTGCCTATGGCTGAACATGACGATGCGCGAATGGCAGTCTCTGTCACACAAGTCTCACCTGTGAATTGCCCGCGTGTTTTCTCCCAGTCCGCTTGTCTTTTGCTTCATTGTCCAGTTTCTCCTCTCCTGACATTAGTTGCTTAGTCAGGGTGCATCTCCACCCAGAATGGTGAGCAGGAAGGTCCTCCAAGAGCCTTGATTTCCTTTTTACAGACATCTCTGTAACGCAACGGAAGGCGACCTATATCTCTTTTGAAAGTTCCCCGCAGAGGATGTCTTTGGGAATTCGGCCAAACTCCACACGATGAACGTGACCCATCCATCGGAGTCTGCACTATCTGAGCAGAGAGAACACGGTTGTTAGGCCGTTGCGAGACACAACTTCAGTGTTAGGCCTTCCTCGATCTGCCCAAAATGCGGCGGATACACCACAAGTGAAAAGTTTTAAGTCTCTTCTCCTGATTGCCATATGACGCCCATGTCTCGCTCTCGTAGAGAAGTGTGCTTATGACGCAGGCATTTTAGACTTAACAGAGAGCTTGGAGTTCTCACTGAGTTACGTGGTGAGGCGAGCGCATGTGGCTGCTGCGTTCGAAATCGTCTTTATTTCTGTGTGAGGTCGCTGCTGATCGTTTATCCTAGGTACGTGAACTTGATCAGAGCTTCCAGCTCGTTGTAGTCAATGGCGATGATTGTTGACAAATCTACGTCCTGCACTAGGACATTCGTCTTTTTCAGGCAGACTGTCAACCCGAAGTCCCTGCGGGGCTCAGAGAAGCTATTCATTAGAATCAATTTCCGTAAGGACGAGGAAAAACTAGAGACTGCAGAAATGAAATTCTAAAGAACGATCCTGAAACGGAGCGAGTGAACGAGAATGAATTCTTAAAGGAAATGGCAACCAAAAGAACAAGTACTCAAAATCAGGAAAAAACATCTGAATTCTTACAGAGAGCAATGCAGCGAATTACTTACCTGACTGGCTTATGCGAATGGATAACGGAACGGGGTAGACGAATGTCTTAGCAAAGTGACTATAAACTATGTCCGGCAGTCAAGCCTCCAATCGTAGAAACATCTCTTTTTCCCAAGTCCACTCTAACCCAGGGTGGTAGTACCTTTTAGGGTTCTAACTATTGGAAAATGGCTACCCCACAAAACTTGCTCCGATAGAGAACTGTGGTTAGAATTGTAGACTGGCATTTTTGTCTTGTCAGAGAGATTGTCATTCTCCCACACTTGAGTGGTGAGGCGTGAGAATGTTGTTGCTTTCCAAAACACTCTTGTCTTATTCTGTGTCCACCATGAGGTCATTGCTGATCGTAGATCCGAGTTATGTGAACTAGGTAAAAATTTCAAGCTCGTAGTCGTCAATGGTGATGATTGGTGGCACATCTATATACTGTCCTAGACCATTAGTCTTTTTCAGGCTAAAAGTCAACCTGAAATCCATGCAGACCTCAGAGAAGCGAATCATCAGAGTCTGGAGCTGCTCTTGTGTGTGGGTTGAGACTGCAGCATCATCCGAAAAAAGCATGTCTCCGATCATAGCCTCCCGTACGTTTGTTTTGGTCTTGGGGCGTGAGAGATTAAGCAGATTGATATTCGATTCTATCACATATATGAAAATGGCTAAAAAGTGTCCGACAGCTCTTGGGACAATGGAAAATATAAACAATTTTTCCACACCCTTAATTTCACCAAACGGAAAGATAGTTTATAAGCTTATTAATTGAGCGACGATGTCGGATTTGCTAAAAGACCAGCAAGGATTAAAAAAAAAAGACAAGAATCTGATAAGAAAAGAAAACTTGAGAATAATCGATCCAAAATAAAAGCCGGGTACCACAAAAAATCCAAATTGTTCCTTGAAGTATCCATCAAAGGAAGGGAAGAACGTATAAAGGACATCGCTAAAGAAATTGCAAATTTATCAACTCAATTCAAACAAGCAAAACTCTATATATACCAGGTGTAACAGCAAAATTATCCGAATCGTGTAACAGCAAAATTGTCCGTGTGGTAGATTAAGTTTTGAAACGTTGTATCTTAGAAACGATTAAAGATATATTACTGGAAATTTCCGAGCGTTTTTTATAACATAATTGGACTCTATACAAGGCCGAATACAGAGATCTGGTGCACTACGTGTCACAAGTTGCCCAAACAATCCTCCGTAGGTTTTTAATTCAAAGTTGCCCGTCTAGACCATGGTATAGAATCCAGTCTGTCATATACAAAATGGTTATTTAGCTATAGGTGGATGGAGAAGATTAATACCTTTCCAACGTAATATAATGGATTCGACTGGAATTCGAACTCGTCTCTCCGATTCCTATATATATATATATATATATATATATATATATATATATATATATATATATATATATATATATATATATATATATATATATATATATATATATATATATATATAATCACAGTGGATAGATATTGTGCTTTTAAATATCGATAATGGACAGATGCTACGTAAGAAGATAGTAACGCTCACATCTTGCTACTAATATTATTTGCTCTGTCAGCATTACATTTTTACAATGAGTTTTATTATTTGTCGTATATACATGTGTACGTTCATATCTCTTGTATTAATATAATATCTCATCATTGTAAACTTATTCCTTTATTATTAAAAGGATAAATTTTGGTATTATTATTGAGAATCATCACAAAACCAGCCATTGTCTCGTCATTGTTGTCTTCAAGCCGAATGGAGCAACGCTTTCAAAAACGCATTCTACAAAAACGATTAAATAATGAAAGAAAAAAAAATCACAATACGTGAAATATCCATTGAAATAATAATAATAATAATAATAATAATAATAATAATAATAATAATAATAAAATTAACAAAATATGTGGGGCTGGGAAGCATGGAAAACTGAGACTGAAAGAGAGGGAGAAATGATTAGGCAATGGCGGGCAGAGAGAGGAAATAATGAAAAATGAAGCAAGGCTTTTATGTTGGTTTCCATTTGTCTGGAAGCAGACGCTGACGTCACAGTTACGTCATCGATAAATTCTTCAAAGTTATCAGCAGGAATCCACTGTGTAATTTATCTGCTGTGCTTAACTATAATGATAATTATAACAATAATAATAATAATGAATTATTAATAGTAGTAGTAGGAGGTGTATTAGTAATAGTAGTAGTAGTAGTAGTATATCACCACTTAAGAGAAGAGAGTAATTCAAGAAAAGAAAAAAGAAAATAAAAAACTAAAGGTTTGACAATGTTAAATAATATTTCGACAGTATGTCTGTTTTCTTCAAATTATATTGCATTTTTTTTCAAGTATATAAATATATAAATCTACAAGAAACATTAAGTCTTTGTACAAACTTTGCTCGTCTTGTTATGAAGAAATGGCTATAATCAAAATCAACGCGTCAAAATGTTTTTCTTTTCTTTTTCTATTCTTAGATTGCGCACTTTTCTTAAGTGTTTAAAAATAATGGTGAGAGTTACGTCAATTATTATTATTATGACTATTATTATTATTATTATTATTATGACTATTATTATTATTATTATTACTGATCTCAAAAATAAATTGTGACTTGGGTATAAATTTACAAATTCACTATTATCATTATTATTATTCTCTTATTATTTCTTTTGGTTTCTGTTGTATAAACATTTTCTTCCAGGTTCAAAAATTGCCTAAGATCAGAAATAGTTTCTGACTTTTTTCTATTGATCAGTTTGTAAAAAAAAAAACAAAGAAAAAAAGCACACAAACAAACAAACAAACAAACAAAAAACCTAAGATCACAGACATTACTGTACTTTAATATTTTTGTATTTATTTATGGGCTGCAGGAATCCTGAAACATTTCCCTCAATCCAATCAATAAAACTATTAATGTCCTCATCTGCCATATTTTTTAAGGTTTCCATTTAAAGTTCTTGTATTTTGATATATTTTAGAAGATCTTACGAGGTCCTGCTACATCAATAAAAATGCATATTCTGTTTCTTTTGTAGTCTTTGATTACGATGTCTAAGGGATTAGCATTGCTTGTCCTGTCTGTGTGCATTGTAAAGACCCATGAAATGTTTGTATGTCTTCTCTTATATAACCGTGTCTGTGTGATATCATACCAGTTTCCCAGGTCAGACAACCACCATATTCTGCAGATCGATCCCTTCGACTATTTCCTCTTTCCAAAAATCAAAACCCACATGAATGTAACAAGATTTTAAGACAGTGAATGCGACGATTCAGTTGTTTGTCTTTCCAAAAAAGGAACGCGGGCTCCACCCCCGATTGGGGCCCTCGCTCGACCCTTTACAGAGGACCGTGTTGGACGGGGAGTTTGACTGGGGCGGTAGGTCTGTCAAACGGTAACGCAGGTTTCCCAAGGCGAGGTCAGCGAGGACGGAAACCAGAATGCTTCTATCAGTGGAAAAGAAGATGCTGGATAAAGTGTGTGTGTCTTCGGAAGCGGACTACTTCGAAGGAGATTAAATGTAGAATTGGTATGTGTTCTAGTTTTCTTTTTATACCAATAGTCTCGATAGTTTAAATCAGATGTGGTACATTTGGGCGGTCTCATCTCTACGCACGTTTATTTTTTGTATTATTTAGTTACTGACCATTAACCTTATAAAGTGCCCAAAGGATATTGAAGAAAGAGGGTTACAGAGGGATGGGGAAAAGGAAAGTAAGAGAGTAGTTCGAAAACCTGTAGGATAATTTCAAACCCACAAAAGAGGCAGTGTATAGTCGGAAGAGCGTAAATTAAATTATTTTTTTTTATTTAAAGACACCATGCTTACAAAGTTATGAAATCATTTTTCCATCCCTGAAAAAGGCAAAGCTAGCGAATATTATAAACGTCTTTATTTGCTCACAATAGCAGCATATAAATTTTTAATGCTGTGCATTTTCCAAGTGGCAGAAAAGCATCGACTCTTCACTGCTTCTCCTACTAAACTCTACTCGCTGTCATTGTTAAATGTCATATGACCTCCCAAGCCTAATTCATACTAATTAGACAGACAAAAAGAAAGATAACACAACACCACAGACCCCTGGAAAGGGTGTTTTTCAAAACGACGAGAGAGTAAACTATCAACTTCCACGGAAACGGATGAGCTTTTCAGTTCTTCTCTAAGATGTCTATCTCTCTGTAGAATGTGTCTGTGTACGTTTCAGCATTGACTGACATAGGGATTAAATCAACAACTTTCAGGATGATCAGAAGTGATTTAAATCTTAAGATAAGAGATTAAACAACTTGAACCAATAAGAGAAGATAATTAACTGAAAACCACAAAATGGTTTATGTCACTTAGAATGGAAGCAATATATTCGAACATATTGTACCGTCCTGAGTATGACGATACATCCGCCCGTCCTGGGTATGATGATAAACTACATCCGCGTCCTGGGTAAGACGATAAACTACGTCCAGCAGCAAGGCCTCTGATCAGGAGGTTTTGAGAAGCGTGGAAACACCTCTTAATTTCTGGTGTTCCCAGGTCTGACTCTGACACGGGGTGATAGCACTTGTTAGGGTCCCAGCTATGGGCAAATAGTTAACACCCAAACTTGTGTAAACATAGGTTTTAATACCAAAAATACTTTAAAAAAATATTACCAGTAATAAATTTTTGAAAAGAAATATTATCAAATTTAAAAAAAAAAATATTACTTGAAATACATTTTTGAAAAAAAAAAATAACCAGCAATACATTTTTGAAGGAAAAATATTACCAGAAATAGATTTTTGACAAAACAAAATATAGCCAGAAATTAAACTTTTGTCGGCATTAAATAACCCATTGAGGTTGATATGTTGTAAAACATATCAAACCAAACCAATCGAACATATTGCCTCAAGCAAATAAAATATCACCGAACTGTTGCATCATATCTAACATTTTTTGCGGCAGTTTATACTGTACAAGTTTCTTCTTCTATGTGCTGCGTTATTTCAGGATATTGGCGATCATAGGTTTTCACAACGTTTTATTCCTTGAGTCCTTAGCAATTCTTCTGTCTCTGCTAAGGCTCCCATATCGCATTCTACCATCCATTCCTAAAACACCGTAATGTTGGTATCTCGCTATCTCTTATATTCTCACAAAACTTTTCTTCATTACCATGTATTTAAAAAAAAAAAATCACCAGTCGCTTTTAGATTCTGAATTTGGGTGTTATTTTAGTTACCATTTTCTTAAGAATTCCTTCTTGCTTACTCGCACCATATACAGAATTCTAACGATTAATTTGGCGGGAGCGGTTTGTTTATTTATTTGGATTAATTTATCATACTTGTTTTTTATTTATAATTATTTTATATATTTTTATTTATTCTTTTCGGTTTTCGATGTTTTAGTAACGTAGTAAACATTTTTAGAAATGAGTTCTAATCGTTTATTTAGTAGTTTGTTTTGGTCTCGGAAGGTAAAACTATATATATATATATATATATATATATATATATATATATATATAGAGAGAGAGAGAGAGAGAGAGAGATAAAGAAAGAGAAGGAGAGAGTCAGAGAGAGAAAGTGAGAGATAGTAGTTTATAGCGGATTGGAGTGAGGAATCGGAGAGCCGAGTTCAATTCAGTAGAATCTATTACATTCACTTACGTTCTGATACCCTTGGGAAAGGTATTAATCCTCTTTTTCTTACACCAGCTATGTGTAAAACAGCCTTGAATGGCAACTGGTCTACGAGAAGGAAAACTCTGAATTCAAAACCTGCATAGGGCCGTTTGAGGAACTTGTGACACGTAGTGCACCAGGTCTCTTTATTCGGGCCTTAAAAAAGGGTGGATGTTTCTGCACAAAGCCGTCATCATTATAATCAAATGATATGTGCTGGTGTCTTGCTGTCCGTTCCTGGGAACTGAGCTGTTTGACCCTCATACGCCGAATACCACCATATATATATATATATATATATATATATATATATATATATATATATATATATATATATATAAAAAGAAAAGA